CGTTTTACAAGCTTATCAGGCAGTTACAAATTATGAACTGTGGGTAAGATATCGACTCAATGCTTTAATGGACTATGGATTAAAGTATAGGTTACCAATCAGAGTATAGGCTATAAGAAGGGTATATTGTAGGATTATTATTTACCAAAGTAGGCGGGAAAGTATAGAAATATATGAATTATAGATAAGGTAACGAGTGGTGAAATAATATTAATGGCGATTCAAAATAGTGTACTGGAGAGCAAAAAGCTGATAAAGAATAGACAAGAAGGGACTCACATCAACTTGGTGCTGGTGTTATTTTGTTCTATCCTAACTCTTAAATCGACTAGCTCCACTGAACCCACCCAACATCGAAGCAGCACCCACGGACCTCCCAATCAATGTTGGCTCACCAACAATTGAAGAAATCAGCATGGCCATCAGACAAATCAAGAGTGACAAAGCAGCAGGACCGGACAACATCCCAGCAGAGGCACTAAAAGCAGACGTGGCAGCAACTGCAAAGATACTCCACATTCTCTTCAATAAGATTTGGGATGAGGAACAAGTACCAAAAGACTGGAAAGAAGGACTCCTGATCAAAATACCAAAGAAAGGCGATCTCAGCAGCTGTGATAACTACAGGGGCATCACTCTTCTCTCAATACCGGGAAAAGTCTTCAACAGGGTATTGTTAAACAGAATGAAGGACTCCGTAGACGCCCAACTTCGTGACCAACAGGCAGGATTCCGTATGGATAGATCGTGTACAGACCAAATCGCAACTCTACGGATCATTGTGGAACAATCAATTGGATGGAATTCATCACTCTAAATCAACTTCATTGACTACGAAAAGGCATTTGACAGCGTGGACAGAACAACACTATGGAAACTTCTTCGACACTACGGCGTGCCTCAGAAAATAGTCAATATCATACAGAACTCATATGATGGATTAAACTGCAAAATTGTGCATGGAGGACAGTTGACAAAGTCATTCGAAGTGAAGACCGGTGTTAGGCAAGGTTGCTTACTCTCACCCTTTCTCTTTCTCCTGGTGATCGACTGGATCATGAAGACGTCAACGTCTGAAGGAAAGCGCGGGATACAATGGACATCTAAGATGCAGTTGGATGATCTAGACTTCGCAGACGATCTGGCCCTTCTATCGCAAACGCAACAACAGATGCAGGAGAAGACGAACAGTGTGGCAGCACCACCACCAGTAGGTCTGAATATACACAAAGGGAAAAGCAAGATTCTCCGATACAACACAGAATGCAACAATCCAATCAAAATTGACGTAGAGGATTTGGAAGATGTAAAAACCTTTACGTATTTGGGCAGTATCATTGGTGAACACGGTGGATCTGATGCAGATGTGAAGGCGCGGATCGGCAAGGCAAGAACAGCATATTAACAACTGAGGAACATCTGGAACTCAAAACAACTGTCAACCAACACCAAGGTCAGGATTTTCAACACAAATGTCAAGACAGTTTCACTGTATGAGGAGGAAAACTGGGGAGCTACGAAAGCCATCATCCAGAAAATACATGTGTTTAATAACGGTTATCTACACAAAATACTTCCAATCCGTTGACCAGACACTATTAGCAACAACGTACTGTGGGAGAAAACAAACCAGATCCCAGTGGAGGAAGAAATCAGGAAGAAGCGCTGGAAGTGGATAGGACACACATTGAGGAAAGCACTCAACTGCGTCACAAGACAAGCCCTCACATGGAATCCTCAAGGCCAAAGGAAAAGAGGGAGACCAAAGAACACATTACGCCGAGAAATGGAAATAGACATGAGAAAAATGAACAAGAATTGGATGGAACTAGAAAAGAAGGCTCAGGACAGTGTGGGTTGGAGAATGCTGGTCAGCGGCCTATGCTCCATTGGGAGTAACAGGCGTAAGTAAGTAAGTAAGTAAGTAACCGGTCAATAGATAATAGGCTCCATAGATGCAAAACATTTGGCAATAGGCAGGCGATTATGTGGTTCTTTTGACTTTTTAGGGTAGTAGTGAGCGTCTCTTAGCGATTGAACGTTTATAGGTTCATTGAGTTACCTGTGTACTTCAAGCATAAAAATTGGGGGAAAAATATCTAATACAACTATAAAGTAGGTAAATAAGGCAATTCGGTTTGTACATGCAGAGAGCCTATAATATCTCAGTGGGACGCAAATGTGTTCGTTTGTGCTAGATCTATGCAAGTGAGGGCTTGACCAATAAGTCCTACAAACGTATGTAACTCATCTGCCATGCGTATTTCAGAGGGAAGACTGTTCCATATTAATGCACATTTATTGAGGAAGAAGTTTTACCGAATTTTTGATCTGTATTTCTCAACTTTGACCGTGGATACTTTGTCTCGAAGGTCTTATTTATGTGAGTCTTTTGCACGAACTATATTACATGTGGGATAAGTAAGCCTTATGAAGAGTTTGCAATAGAGAATCAAATTGAACCTTAGCCTTCATTTCCAAAGGGGATCTAGTCCCAAGATATGGCATCGGGAACTGTATTCAATGAGTGGGTCGTTCTTAAGTATTTTGCGAGTGAAGTCTCAATGTATTCCTTCCACCTTAAGTATATCTCATAGGCGTAGGTTGGAAAGTAAGAATAAACAGTATTCAACTATAGGGTTTACACAGGCTTTATAAAGAATGATTTCAGATTCATTTTTAAAGAAATTTCGAAGGACGATGACAAGCAATTTTCGCATTTTAGATGCTTTAGTTGAGGTGTCTTCATAGAAGTTAGGAATGTGTGAGCAATGTACTCCTAGGTCAGTGGGTTATGGTTAAGTGCCAGTCTTATTTTAAGAGATGTGTCTACAATACACAGCCAGCCGCATTTCTCTGTGTTGAGCTCCTACCCCCACCGTTCGCACCAGTTGTTCACCATTTTGAGGTTATGTTGGATTGTTTGTATAGTACCACGTACATCGCAAATGTCAGTCTTATAGATGACTTTTAATTCATCAGCGTAGAGGCTGGTTTTAGCTTGTGCTAAAGCACTTGCATATATTGTTGGTGTAGATTGTAAAGAGCAATGGACCCAAGACACTATCCTTCACAACACCACTGGTTATTGGTCGAGGTGTAGATGTTGCAGAGTTAGTCTTGGTTATTTGGTATCTGTTTGTGAGAAATGGTTTGATCCATTGCAACTGGGGGTTTGTAATTTCAACTGACTGGAGTCTGTTGATTAGGAGATTATGACGTACTTTGTCAAAGGATTTCATAATATCGAAGTATAGTATAATCGCTAGTTTCTTTTGGTCACGTATGTGAGTAACTTCGTTTGTGTGGTCCACCCTGTCTTCACCTGCCGTACCTAAGTCCCATGGTAATGGACGGTAAGTCACCGACTGATCCAATTTATTTTCACAATTTCTTATCACATGTTTGCATCTCAGACAATCAAAACTTCAGCCTTCGCTGAAGGAGTGGACTATTACATCTTCTAGATTTTTCCCAGTGACGACACCATTTTGTTCAGAAACTTAGGTACTTATTTCTCTTCATTTATTCTTGTGATAATCTTAATCCACCTACGTTAGTCTAGTGAGAAACTGTTTAAATATAATCTCCAAAAAATGTACAGAGTTCAGTTCATATTCTACATTCAACGGTAGTAGTGTATTTTTATGCGTGAACAGGTTGCCTAGGAGTGAGCAGAGGTCTCCAGCATAATCTCTAATCATTTGGGTATCGTCCTTAGTTTCAAAGATACAACAGTCTAACATTAATTATCTCCCAAATCACTGTTAAACTACGCGCCCAGCTTAAACATAACCAACTAAGACAGGTGGGATTTATTGTTGCACAACACTGGTGGAGCCTCCTGTATACGAAATATGATCGTTCATTCCTTTAGTGTAGTAGTGTTGTCTGGAGGGTCAAAACGAAGAAAGGGATATTCAAAACTGCCTCAAAGCAAACCAGAGCAGAAAAATAGTCACAGATGATTAAAAGATTAGGAACTAGTGAGATTAATTTATGAATAACCAATATTTGACCTTGAAATTTGATCCCGTAATCCATTATTTAACCTGTAGGATCAGGTAGGACCAGTGATGTCACAGAAGTTTCGTAGTTTGTTTCCACTTGTCATGAGATACAGCTGCCTGTCAAACAGCAGCTTTTCCAAAGTCTGAGCAGAATTTTTATTACCGAAACCCATAATGTTTCTAATCACTTCCTTCTTGTTTTGTTTCAACCACGATAAGCATAAATCAACAAATTAGATGACAAAATTCCGCAAATTAAACTCCGTTATGATCAAACAGACTCTAATAGTTCAAACATTATGTTCTCGTCAACAATTTGAAAATATATTTCCTCGGGATCGATCCTCAAATTCTCTGCCTGAAACTGAAACCAGTGAGTATTAATCGGTATCTGTCGTAAAGGTTGATGGATTACTCATAGGAGAGTTATCAGGATTCCCAATCGCAGGACTACACCTGTTACTGTAGAACTCTTAAACCTGATATATACGGACGGTCTTAAAAATTTGTCTTGCCTTTCCTAAATCACTTCAACAGGACTGGATCAATCAAAAGTTCTTCCCTAACATTAGCAAATTCGGAATGACCACAGTGAACAGTAGTGATACTATTTCTGTTTTATTTTCCTGACGGTTCCATTCTATGTGCTACTGTACATTTATTCTTGTTGTAGCGATAAGTAAACCGACAAAATAAATAGTTCCGTAGGCCTTCAGGATTTCATTCTGGCCTCATTGGCTTTAGTGGACAGATCTATTTGAAGGTGTAGCGGTAAATAAATCCCCAAAATAAATAGCACTAAGTTTTCGACATTGGATGCTGACCATATGTTTTAGTGGACTCATCTAGCTGAAGGCGCTCGGTCAGGCATCTGCACCAGATCACGTGTGGTAACGCCGTGCTCAACATCAACCGCAATCGCTAGCCAGATTAGATCAGAGAATTCAGATATATTGGTCATCGCCAAATATACTCTTCCAATCTCCTCGACTCTGTCTTTTGATTTCTCTGGGCGGGAACGAAATATATTAGGTGTTACTGGTAGAAGCGTTGTCAAACACTGAATACCTGTGACATCATCATTGGTGAAACCGACGTGATCTGGTACACCTAATTGCAACTGTGAGTCTGTTCCTTTTTGGGATTTTTATATATCATTGCCTTATTTTTTTATTTTTTTAAACATTGTGATTTCTTTTCGTGTTTTTTCCTGGATATATATATTTTCCCCTCGTTCATTATCGTACTACATACTTCATCATGACTGAACAGACACCTAAAGTACTCAAGCTTAAGACTTTGTCCCCGCCTTCGTTTCAACTGATGCCTTTCTGGCCCGACAACATCGAAGCCTGGTTTTGCTACGCCGAAGCCGACTTCTCCGAGCACGGCGTGATCGACACACGTGCACAATTCCTCGCAGTAGTCAAGGCACTACCGCGCGAATTCAACAGGTACGTAACACCTAGTATGTTTACTAGTGATGTTTCCGATCCTTACGAAATCTTAAAACGCTCGATTCTTAAACGAGGAGACCTAACCGATCGACAAAGGTTAGATCAACTCTTCAACAATATCCACCTGCAACACGGTTCTGCGACAGACATGTTGCAACGGATGAGAGAGGTAATAGGCCCAAGAACTTTCGACGAAGGCCTATTCAAACAACTCTTCTTGTCAAAACTTCCCCAACAGGTGCAAGCAGTTCTGGTCTCGTTCCAGAACAATGCCTTAGACGAGCTAGCTGCATCTGCCGACCGCATTTTAGAAATTACGAAATCTACTACCGAGGTATTTTCAGTCAAAGAAAAACCTCAAACAACTCAGAATGATATAAACGACTTATGTCACACACTCACGCGTTACCTTAGTCTTCGTAACGACCGTAAGAGATCGCGTACACCACGTAGAAGCATTTCTCGTAAGCGATCTGTCTCTAGACCACGAGAGACAGATAACCCCGACTGGTGCTGGTATCATAACCAGTATGGAAAGCTTTCCAGAAATTGCAGAAAACCCTGCAATTTTCCCAACACGAAACCGACTGATTCGAAAAGCAATTCGGGAAACTGCCAAGCCGGCACGCGTTAACGGCAACCGTAGCCGGCGAACATAGCCGTCTGTTATACGTCACAGATGTGACAACGAGAGTTCGCTACCTCGTCGACACTGGCGCAGAAGTTAGCGTTCTCCCAGCAAATCCTAACGACCGACTACACGAATCGACCCTAAACTTACAGGCGGCAAACGGAAAACCGATCGCTACGTATGGCAAAAGGTACGTTTACCTTAACGTGGGTTTACGCAAACCCATCCACTGGATTTTCGTTGTTGCAGATGTTTCTATGCCAATCATTGGTATGGATCTTCTACAACACCACAATCTGATCATCGACACGCGCAAACGGAGGCTAGTAGACGGTAACACTAATTTGTCCGTTTGCGTAACTTCTTTTACTGGTTGTAGAGTATCCCCAGTCACAGTTAAACATATGATAGACCCACTCTATCAACCACTACTCGATAAGTACCCTGGGATACAACAAACTCAACCGAAACTACCGTGTGTAACCAGCAATGTTACACATCACATCACGACTACAGGACCACCTGTATTCTCTAAAGCACGACGACTAGCTCCGGAAAAGCTAAGGTTAGCGAAAAACGAATTCGATCACATGATGGACTTAGGAATCATACGACCGTCAAGTAGCCCATATGCATCTCCGTTGCACATGGTCCCTAAAAAGGACAGCAACGATTGGCGTCCAACTGGTGACTATCGGCGATTGAACGCGAAAACCATTCCCGATCGTTACCCGTTGCCTCACATTCACGATTTGACAGCTACCTTGAAAGGTACAACTGTCTTTTCGAAAATCGACTTGGTTAAAGCGTATAACCAAATCCCTATGGCTACTGACGACATACCGAAAACGGCTATCATAACTCCCTTCGGACTCTATGAATTTTTGCGAATGCCTTTCGGTCTAAGGAATGCTGCTCAAACATTCCAAAGATTCATAGACGACGTTTTTCGAGGTCTCAACTTCGTACACGCGTATGTTGATGACTGTCTAATCGCAAGTCCGGACAGAGAAACACATCTCAAGCATCTGGATCTTGTATTCGAACGACTTCAAAAACATGGCATAACTGTAAACGTTCAGAAATGCCAATTCGGAACCGACTCGTTAGACTTCCTAGGACACACTATCGATGCTCAAGGCATTCGACCTCTTAGGACCAAAGTGGCGGCCATTCTGGATTACCCAGAACCGACCACCGTCAAGCAATTGCGCACGTTTAACGGCCTGGTAAGTTTCTATAGACGTTTCATACCCAAATGCGCATTACTTATGAAACCTCTGACCGACCAACTTCGTGGAAATGCGAAATCCATTAATTTGGACGACAACGCACGAAAAGCATTCTCCACAGTTAAGGAACTGATTGCTAAAGCAACAATGCTCGCACATCAGGACACCCGAGCACCCATTAGCATCGCAGTAGACGCATCCGACTCAGCAATCGGAGGAGTCTTACAACAATGGGTTAACAACTCCTGGCAACCCTTGGCATTTTTCTCTAGAAGGTTGCTAGACACCGAATCGAGGTACAGCACATTCGGTAGGGAACTCCTAGCTATGTATTGTGCTGTACGGCATTTCCAACACTACATCGAAGGTCGTGAATTCACTCTTTTCACGGATCATAAACCGCTTACCTTCTCGTTAAGCTCTCCTTCTGACAAGTACTCTCCCCGTGAGTCTCGACAACTGGACTACATTTCGCAGTTTACTTCAGATATTCAACACGTCTCTGGAGCAAACAATGTAGTTGCAGACGCTTTATCTCGTATAACTTCCTTGAACAGTTTCCAAGGAATCGACCTTCTTAAACTCGCCGAGCTTCAAAAAGAAGACAGTGATCTTCAGCACGAGTTATCGTCCACAACACTTAAACTACGCATCAAACAGATGGGAACAGGTAAGGAAACCTTACTTTGTGACACATCTACAGGTAGGGATCGCCCAATCGTGCCGAAACATTATCGACGCAATGTCTTCAACACATTGCACAAACTTTTGCATCCAGGTGTTCGTGCAACCATCAAGCTCATAGCAGAAAGGTTTTGCTGGCCTGGAATGAATAAAGACGTGAGGGAGTGGGCACGCTCCTGTGTAAGCTGCCAAAAATCTAAGGTTATAAGACACAATAAATGTCCCTTAGGCTCGTTTAAAACTCCCGATGCTCGTTTCGACCATGTTCATTTGGATTTGGTAGGACCTTTACCAGATTCAAATGGATACTCTTATCTCTTAACCTGCGTTGACCGTTTCACTCGATGGCCAGAAGCAGTACCTATCAAGGACATCACTGCTGAAACAGTGGCCCGCACCTTCGTTGAACGATGGGTAGCAAACTTCGGCTGCCCTTCAACCATCACTACAGACCGCGGACGTCAATTTGAATCTGATCTTTTCCGTCGTCTGACCACTCTTTTAGGAAGCACTCGCTTCCGAACGACTGCCTACCATCCACAAGCAAACGGGTTGGTAGAACGTTTTCACCGACAACTGAAAGCTTCGCTATCAGCTGCAAACGTTTCACAGTGGACCGACGCTCTCCCACTCGTCTTACTAGGTATCCGCAATGCAGTGAAAGCTGACATTGGATACACTGCGTCCCAACTCGTTTATGGTACGACACTTCGACTTCCAGGAGAATTCGTGGATCCTTCATCCTCTTCAATGAACATGGATCTAACCTCCCACACGAACAGGCTTACAAACGCAATGCGTTCAGTTAAACCTGCTTCCACTCGACCTCAATCAACTGATGTTTTCGTTCAACCTGACTTACGACATAGTACACACGTTTTCGTTCGTCGAGACTCGTATCGACGACCATTCGAATCAGCATACGAAGGACCCTTCAAAGTTCTTCAACGTGAATCTAAGTACTATATAGTCGATAAGAACGGAACCAAGGATAGCATCAGCATCGATCGCTTGAAAGCAGCGTATTTAGAAGGAAATCCTATCCACGTCGATTTTCCTTCGGTACAATTGAACGACACGACTCCGACACTTATAATACCTCACCCGACAACCAACACACACGATGATACTTCGACAGTATCCGAAAATAAACTTAAAACGACGCGTTCTGGAAGAAGAGTGAGATTTCCAGAACATTTAAACGACTATTGCACGTAAGGCACTACTAGAAATTTTATATTTTTTTTTTAAACAAAAAAACAATTTTAACATGCTTATATATTTTTATTTTTATTTAAAAAAAAAACAAAAAAAACAACTTTTTTAACGCTATTACGTGTTCATGAGTTTATTTTCCATTTTTTTTCCGCCGACATTGTGCTTTTACGCACATACGAGTGTATTTCGACATGCACTTACATTTTCTTTTTTCTTTTCCAGGACGGCTGGAAAAGAACGATGACGTTTACGAGGATCCGAAATTTTCATTGTACATTTTCTTTTTTTACTATGTTGTACCTCCGTCCCATATAGTAAGGAAAGACGACCAGACGCTGCTAAATTTAGTAAGCTATCAGAAGAGTGTTTACCAACGACAAACTCGTTGGGTTTAAACTTCTGGCTGGCCACGTCTTAGGGTCGTCACTGCCCCACTAGGGGGGGAGTGATCTGTAGCGGTAAATAAATCCCCAAAATAAATAGCACTAAGTTTTCGACATTGGATGCTGACCATATGTTTTAGTGGACTCATCTAGCTGAAGGCGCTCGGTCAGGCATCTGCACCAGATCACGTGTGGTAACGCCGTGCTCAACATCAACCGCAATCGCTAGCCAGATTAGATCAGAGAATTCAGATATATTGGTCATCGCCAAATATACTCTTCCAATCTCCTCGACTCTGTCTTTTGATTTCTCTGGGCGGGAACGAAATATATTAGAAGGTGTTACTGGTAGAAGCGTTGTCAAACACTGAATACCTGTGACATCATCAAAGGCTCCTGGTCACACATCCGCACCAGATCACGGGTGGGTATGCCCTGCTACGCATCTCTTACAACCGTTAGCCAGCTTAGAATTAAAGCTTTCCGATATATCGACGGTATTCCAAAGACGACTGTGAATCTTCATTTCTGACCTCCAATTTGATTAATTTGGTGTATGTCGATTGTAATGGTGTTACAGGTTAAGGCGTTGTCAAGCTCTGAATACCTGTGGCATCTCTAGCACCACCAATTTGTTTCAACACTTAAATTGAGGGGGAATACCATGAAAATCGCAAATGTTCATGATCAGGAACGATGACAAGAAATAAATAATTCACTGGTTCTGTCTAGTAACTACTGAAACTGAAACACCATTAGAGTTAGAATCCGTAAGGTGATAGTATCCTGCCAAATACCGTCGTAAATGTATCGCACACTCCATCTACGAGAAGACTAGAGACAGAAGATGACCAGAAAAGTGTAAATGTTGTGTTTTGTCTGTCGATGTTGAAAACGAGAAAAATGATAATACTAGACATTAAATCACTACAAATGAGTGACTAAACTCCTGAAAGAGGTTGGAAAATTGTTTCGACAAAACAAAACTGACTCAAAGAAATTTATTGGATTAATTTTCAGCATCATTTGTTCTTGTGAGTGCGATACTAACATTCTGGCTAGAAGCGCTCAACATAAAAATATCGGCTACATGTCCAGTGAACGATCTAGGAGTGTGCGCAGTTTCCTGGATGAAGTATGTTCATTTATGTATGCATATCGGCTGTTCTGTAGAAATTCAAACCTACTTTTGACCAGGTAAACCAAGTTCAACTGTTTTAGTAAGTAATTAGTATGATATAAATACTGGTATCCCCTCATCGGATCTTAAACAATTTCTCGGGAAGTCTCACTTGTCAGAATCGAAAGTCCACAATATTGTGGACTCAGCCGATAAAGATGGAGACCAGTTCATTACTTACGATGAGTTCCTAAAACAAGTAAGTATTTTCAAAATATAGTGTAACAGATTTGTATATTGTCAATGCGTTATCTGATGTGATGCACAGTAATAGAAAAAAGATGTATGTGACAAACTTCAAGCTTAGAACGACAAGTCTGGTTGACACGGTTGACATCTCGTTTGTGCTACTCGTATTTATGAGTTTAACTGATGGTGTGATTGTTTAGTGATATGATTTTTAATTATCCTCTACTGTGTATGAGTGGTGTCCATTTAAATCCTAGTTCGTGTTGTGTATGGATGCGGTTGGACTTGAGATCGTGTTCCTCTATGGCGAAATCACTCGGTTATCTTTGTATTCATAGTCACGGTTGTTTCCAGATTACGAAGCAGGTTGACGCATAGATTCCAATCTGTTATTCAGACACATGCAAGTCAACATGTTTTCCATCTTCAAGGTCTGGTATTTCTTGTGGGAATGTAATAAAATCGTAGTGAAGTTTTCACTAATAGAGTATGAATTTTCCAAACATGTGGAATGTCCCACTAGGTCTGTTTCGAAGTCTGGAAATGTTAACTTGTAATATTGTCGATGCCGAGAGCTACTGATGGAAGAGAACTTCGTCTATTCTCCTCCTAGTTATTTAAATAACCTAACTCTTGAAACTGTGTTGACGTTTGACTGTTAAGTAATCCTATCGGGTTGTTGGTCCGACTTTCTTGACTGTATGATTAAAATCTAATTTCATAACATTTGTGTATTGTGTAAACTACAATAAATGTGGCTCAAAATCTGAGTTTCTTTGTATAGTGTTGTATTTTGGCAAACGTATAGAATGTCACCGGGTGATCGTCTTCATGTTTGCTCTCTTTTATACTGTGTGATTTCGTGGATCATGCGTCACTCTCGATTAATACAGATAGGATACATTTGATCCTGTC